GGAGGCGTCGGCGGCAGCTGTAGGGCGCGACGGCGGCTTGGGGTGGAAGCGGGAAGGGGATCGGCGTGCTAAACTAATACCATGTAAGTTAGGAAGAATGAGATTGTACGAATCGATAATCATTGATCGTGTGCATGGTGCACATATATAGATACAGGGTGGACCGGCCTCTACTTGTCTCCCAAGATATACACATATATGGGGGGATAGAGAGAGATACAACGGTATAAATACAGACCCTAGTCCTATACATATGCAGTGTACAACATACGCTCAACAAACCACTTACCAGCAATAGAATAATAAAGGAAGTAAAGAAGGACACTAAGCAGAACAGTCTCGGGCCGTGGATACAAGGTGCAAAACATGACAATGCACAAGCCAAAGACTACACAAACAACTACCAAGATGAAGAAGCTTGATCCGTCGAGGTCTTCGGCCACCAACGTAGCCAGCACCAGGCAGACACCAAACTTGTGGAAAATAACAATGTGAAATAAGAAGGCCCAAGTCCACTCCTGCATGAAGAACAACCAAGAACAACCTGGGCACAATGACATCTGTCTTCGTCGCCGTAGAAGGCCACAACCTTCTCGTCCCAGATCAAAAGACGTCGCACCGTCGGCAGGCGAAATGGCTCCCCCAGGAACTGGAATTCACATATGGCCACTAGGTGTACCATGGGAGGGGCTACAACAGGCCACATTGAGCTCCATAAGAAACAGTCGTTGCCATGGCACAACCACGAAGGAGACATGCACTTCAGGATAGGAACACGAAACAAATCGACACGACGAGAAGTTGATGAAGAGGAATGCCGCCACAGGAACCACCAGCATATCCCAACACGATGTCCACCTCCCCGCGGTCCAAGGACGGCACCATTCGAAAGCGATACGGTGCCATAGCGCCGCCGTGGTCCTGAAGAAAGACCAAGGTTTTCACCTAGATGCATGCAAGGATGTGTGGTGGGTGGGATACACTACAAGAAATATGCTTACTTGCAACCATCAATATTGGTCATTGTTTATCATTTGCGACCTTTTTGTGACCAAAAAGAGTTGGTCAAAAGCTGACCGTCTGGAACTTAACGACCTTCTTTGTGAGAGGTTACGACCAAAATAAAAGGTTGTTGGTCCTACGACCAATTGTTTTGGTCGCTGGTCATCTACCCAGGCCACGTCGGATCCAACGTGGCAAGCTGACGTGGCAAAATTGCGACCAATTGAATTGGTCGTTGATAAGAATCAGCCCAGTCCAATTCGGTGTCTATATGGGCCGAGCCCATTAATTCAACCTTTTTAATTGGGCAGAGGCCTTTCTGGCTCAACGGTTCAGTTTTTTTTGTCAGAAGATGGGTCCGGTACTCAAATGGGTCCTGATTGTCAAGTTCTAGTATGTGGGTCTTGACCGAAGGATTTCCTGCACACTGCACAAAAGACATCGGCCGGGCCCGAGAAGAGGCTTGAACCTAGCCCGACTTTGTATTAACAAAGCCATTAATTGGCTAGAATTACATCGATCAACCACTTACAAGCAACAGAAAAAGAAAGTAAAGAAAAACACTGAGCAGAACAACCTCAGGCAGCCGATACAAGATGCAAAACACGACAGTGCACAAACCTAAGACTACACAAGCTACTACCAAGATGAAGCTGAAGAATTGAGCTTGATCCGTCAAGGTATTCGGCCGCCAAAGTAGCCGGCACAAGGCAAACACCGAAATTATGGGAAACAACAATGTGAAAGAGAAGGCCCAAGTCGACTCCTGCATGATGAATAACATGGGCACAATGACATCAGTCCTCGACACTGTAGAAGGCCACAACCTTCTTGTCCCTGATCAAAAGGACGTCGCACCGTCGGCAGGTGAAATGGTTCCCCAAGAACCCGAATTTACATATGGGCACCAGGTATACCATTGGAGGGGCTACAACAGACCACATTTAGCTCCACAAGAAACAGTCATTGCCATGGCACAACCGCAAAGGACAACTATACTGCAACGCAAAATAAATCGACACGGCGAGAAGTTGACGAAACGCAATGCTGCCACAGCAGCCACCAACACATCCCAACACGACATCCACCCCGCGGTCCAAGGACGGTGCCTTTAGAAAGGGGTATGGTGTCACAGCATCGCCGTCGTCCCCAAGAAGGACCAAGGTTTTCACCTAGATGCAGGGGAGGGGTGGTGAGGGGTGGGATACCTCAACAAAGCCTCCAAGAAGTGGTTCGCTGTCATAGTGTCATCGTCTTTCCGGCCGCCACCGCTGGACAAGGGTTTCCCCCGGTCCTAGGAACCCGGCCACCGGATCCGGCAAGCGGGGCCACATCAGAGCCCAGATCAAACGGGAGATGGTGAGGATGATGGAGTTGGTATTGGTCGATTTAGATCTAGTGGCTGACCGACGAAAGGAAGTTCGGCCACCGCGAGCTCCATCCACCAAGACCTCACCGGCCAAGCAAGCCGAGGAGACCATCCGAGCACCCGCAGTCGTCGTCCGTCGCAGGAATAGTGTTGCCCATCTTGACCAGGGCCGCCACACCGGCACGACATGCCCCTCGCGCGAGGCATAAGCGGCAAACCTCGCCGCCACCTTCCTCGATGCCGTGCGGGGTTGCCATCGGTGTCTTCAGTGGCGGCAAAGTCAGGGGGCGGGGAAGGGGAGAGGCCGACGGTGGACTAGTGTTTGGAGCCACTAGTTCCGATCAATGCCTATTTATGTTTCCGTATCCGCTTTGTATTCGCTCTGTGTCCATTTCCGGTAATATTTGTTTCCATATTCATTTCCGAGGTTTCTGTATTCGTTTCCGCTTCTGCAAAAAATGTGAAAACAAATATGATAGCACTCAGTTCCGTCCGTTTTCGCTCCGTTTTCATCCCTAAGAGCCACCTGAGTCACCCCAAGGGTGCAACGCGGGGGCGAAGGGGGCAAGTACACACGATTAAGTTCTTTTGCCTTCCATTTTCTATCGTATTTTCTGTCTTTGTTTTCTTTTGTTTTTTCTTCGGCTCTTCAATTTTTCTTAGTTATATTTGACTTTTCTTTGTTTTCACCGGTTTTCTATTGTTTTTTTCTTTTGCTTCTTTATACCTCAGTTTCTTTGTTTCTTTCTCCGTTTTCTTCCTTCTTTTAGTTTTTTATCGGTATTCATTGGTATTCTTGTTCTAACACATGTCCACTTTTTTCAGTGCACAATATTTATTTTAGTGTACACCTGTATTTTTGCTAAACGTCAAACATTTTTCAAATACATGATGTACATTTTCCGTTCAATACATGTTTTAACACTTTATCAATACATGGTCAATTTTTATCAAATACACATTGAAACATTATTGTTGAGCTACATGATTTTTCATACATTTGTATAAACAATTTTGTAAATGTCAGAAACATTTTTTCAAAATGTCATGTACTTTTTTTAATGGTAAGAAACATTTTTATACTACACTACTTTGTTTACATTGTATACAGTTTTTATTAAAAACATTACAAACATTTTTTTAGTTATGTGAACATTTTCTACATTTGTATACAAGTCTTTGTAAATGTTAGAAGCATTTTTTTAAACAGGGGAACATTTCTGTCATGTACTTTTTTAATGGTATGAAACATTTTCTTATACTACCAAATTTATTATTTACATTGCATGTGCTTTTAAAAGGATTCACTTACATCTTTGTGAACTACATGAACATTCTTTTACATTTGTATAAATATTTCTGTAAATATCATAAACATTTTTTTTTGAAACAGGGGAACATTTCTTAAGAAATTCATGCTCTTTTCTTAATGTTACAGAACATTGTTTATACTACACAATTTTTTATATTGTATAAACATTTAAAAAAATCACACATATGTTTTGAAACACAGAAACATTTTTTTGAACTTTTTTTTTGAAAGATTTCAACATTTCTTAAAACTGAGCTCATGTTTTTTATATTTTTTAGTATTTTTCAAATTCACTGTTTTACAGAAAAGTAAAAATAAAGAATATGAAAGAAGAAAAACGAAATTAGCTTGACATCAGATCGATAACTAACGTCACTACTGGGCCAGCACCAGCACCTTGTAGCATGCTCGCGGACAAGGCGGCAGTCTGGCTATAAGCGAGAAATAGGCGCCCCATATATCGCCCGCGACAAGACAAAGCTACAGCCTGGCCACTGACGCGAGGTTAGAATGCAGGCCCAAAACTGTAGCTCCCCTGAGCTGTTTTGCGAAGATTCCGCGGTCCGCCTTGGATCAGTGTTACAAGGTTGTGTATGTTGTATTCTTTGTTTGTTTGTTTTGATATCGGGTTTCTATGTTTTTTCTTGTTCTTTTTTCCTTTTATTTTCTCAAACACGTGTCAACTTTTCTAAATATACGTCATAAATTCTACATATACACACGGAACATTTCATATGTAAATGTTGAACATTTTTCCAATACATGATGAAAACTTTAGTCGAATACATGTTTAAAATTGCTTGGGTACGTGCAAAACATTTTTCAATGCATCTTGAACATTTCATGAATGGTACAAAACATTTTTAAGTGAAGACCATTATTTTAAATGTATAAACATTTATTGAAAGGATAATTTTTTTAAACTACCTCAACAATTTTTACATTTTGTGAAAATTTGCTACAGATGTGACGAATAGTTTTGGAAAGTATCAACAATATTTTTGAATGGCATGAGACAGTTTTTACTATGCGAACATTCTTTTTTTACATTAGGTAAACATTTTGAAAAAGGTAACCTACATTTTGTATGTGGAACACATGTATGCTTTTTTAAATGTCACAAACATTTTTTTAGTGCTATCAACATTTTCTAAAAGTTGTGCAATGCATGAAAATTTATAAATGTGTAGTGAGAGTTTTAAGAAAGTTAGTGAATTATATTTTGTAGTATATGCATTTAGAATATTGCGAAAATATAAACAAAACTAAAAAACCAAATCTAGCGAATGAACCAAGCGACAGGTCCTTTTTACTGATTTAGGCCTCGGAGAAGGTGATGACACCTCGTCCACAATGGTTTGTTGCTTCCTGTGGAAAAATGAATGAAACGTCAAAATGATACCTGCGAACGGGGTGACTTCTAGGGCCAAGGTTTGTAGAAACTTACTTGGTTGGTCGGGTCTGAGGGGCATGAATCTTGAGCAGGATCCCGAGGTGGATTGGGATCCTGGTTGATCAACGGCACAGATGGATCTGGTGCTTGGTCATCTTGTGCCCTCCGGTGCTTGGCAACCTTGGTAAGAGAATATGGCAACGTCAATCCAATTTTGATGACAATTATATTGTTCCCACCCCATTCCATATTTTGTAAATGTATAGTTTCTATGTTAATTCAGTGTAGCTATAGTGTAAATAAGATAAAATATTGCATATATTTTAGAGTGTGCTATTTTTAGAGTTATATATGGCATGTTTTATTATTTAGTCACATATACTAGACTCACTTATTATACACTTATAAGTGGGAAATTTGTTTACTCGTGAACAACCGTAGGTCTTTATTTTTGGAGGTTTGAATAATAGTACCAATCAAATGAGATGTATTATATTGTTAGAGAGATTTTGTTGGTTATAGCTTTGACATGATTTTCTTAATGCGGTAGAAATGATATTAAACATAATTGACATAGATTGAATTTCATAGCTAAGGATGTGCACAGGATATGTAGGTGTGAGTTTACAAGTGTTTTGTTTTTTTGAGGGTTTATAAATGTATTGTTATAGATATTGTTTAGGTATTTTCCTAACTGTTTTATAAAAGTAGTTTACAAATATATTTGCTTTTTTTCAGTGGTACAAATGTATTTGCTATAGTAATTATTTTCCAGAGGAAAAATAGGCGTGAGCCCCATTGGGTCCAGCCCCAGTTGGACCAGGGCCTTTGTATGTATGCTGCTAACTAGCCGGCCTCGCTCGTCGCGCTCTCGTCTCCCCTCTGCACACCGTCTCCCCCGATTTCTTCCTCCGCCGGCCGTCTCCCGCACCGCCCTTCCGGCCCCACCCGTGGCTCCGGCAGCTATCCTAGCTCCTTTGTGTAAGTGTTGTTCAATTCCTTCCGGTTAATCCCAGATTTCATTCTTGAACCCAGATCTGCTGAAATAGTAACTTCTCCCTTGGTCAGGTCAGGCCGAGCCAACAACGAAGGGAACCAACTTGGGAAAGCAGATCGGCGCCGGCGGCTCCGGCGAGCGCAGTTGCAGGGTACGTGCCTTCTTTTTCTCCAGTTCCTTCTTGCCGGTTTGGTAAGGGACTCAGAAGTGGTCTGTTGTCCGATTCCAACTACTTCAGTCGGTATTGAATCCGACTCGGTGCAGATATGGAGCCTCAACCTGAACCTGGGAGTAATATGAGTTAGTCATTAGCCATTTTCATTGTGATTTAATGAAAAGGAAAAGTTGCTTTAGTTTTTTTTCTTAAGCAACAAGAATCTCTATCTCTGTTACTAGTTCAATGAAGATTTCATTCAGAATGAGCAAATGCGGTTTAAAGCCGTTTATTGTTTTAAGCCATGTCCAATGCAGAGATGTGCTTCGTGAGAAGTTAAAACTAATTATTTTTCCAGTCGTTTGTAGTACGTAGTAAACAAGATTGAAAAAGATCATCTGCTTAACTTGTTGTGGGTGACAAGATTGGACAAGATTGAGTTAGAGAGTAAACCATCCACCATTTACATTTACATCATTACATAGGCATCTTGAGGAAATCTTCTTACGAAACAGAGCATCCAACACAAGTACTCCCTCCGTCCCGAAATCTTCTTATAAAGTCGAGTCACTTATTTTGGGACGGAGGGAGTAAGTCATTTGTCTGAAATTATGGTTGCCAGTACTCTCCAGGTAGCATTATGGTTTTCATTGTCTGAAAAAGCATCAACGTTCTCTTATGTCTGCTGAGTTGGGGTGAAACCAAAGAATAAATCAAGTGTGTCGAACCAAGCAAATAGAGGATTCCCGAACAGATAGAACAGATACTCTTTTCACTGTACATTCTGTCTCATCATACATATGGAGAGGCCTTATATGCCACTTGCTGCGGCAACTAAACTCCTCCACACAGGGCGCCTCCCCACCCCCCGATTGGGGCGACCCATTTGCAGTTTGAGCAGTGAAAATCCAAAAAATAATGAGCGTGCGAGGGATCGAACACAGGAACTCCCGCTTGTGCGGACATGGCTAGTGACTTGAAACAATGATTTTGCTGGACAATAGGCATCGCAGAACATTAAAAACTATCATCAACAAGACACCTAAGACATATTTTGAAACTTCAAAACACTTTTCTTAAAAGGGAATATTTTGAAATGGCAAACTTTTTCAAAATTGAGAATACTTTTATACAACCTAGAATATTTTCCGAAAACACAAAGATTTTTGGAAAAATCTCAAATACTTTTTGAAGATATGAACAATTTTTGAATCTTTAAATAATATTTTAAAAACGCGATCATTTTTTAAAAAAATTGATGCTTTTTTAGAAACATGAAGATTTTTTTTAAACATGAAGATTTTGTAAAAAGGGAGCATTTTTCGAAACTCCCCACAATATTTGAAAAGACAAACATTTTTTGGGTCTAAGAACAAGTTTGAAAAAATGAACATTTTTAAAATCCCAAACACAATTTGAAAACACGGATATTTTAGAATTTATGAAAAAAAATCAATACATTTTTTTGATATTTTCAAAAGAACTTTTGGAAAATCTGAACAAAAGTTGAATGTTTGGACCAAATTTTAAAACATTGAACAAATTTTGAAATTCTGACATTTACTCCCTCCGTCCTTTAAAGAGTGTGCTTCCAATTTTATTGGAGGGTCAAACTATCTCAATGTTTGACCGAATTTGTGCAAAAATATATCAATGTCTATGAAACCAAGTACATATATGATGAAAATATATTTTATCATGAACCTAATGCTACTAATTTGATGGCATAAATGTTGGTGCATTATTGTATAAATACGGTCAAATATAAAAAGGTTTGACTTTCCAACAAAGTTGGAAGTACACTCTTCAAAGGACGGAGGGAGTATTTTAGAACGCAAGCAATAATATTTAACACTGAATAGTACATAACATAACTTGGGCTTTAGATTTGACTCATTATCACACTGATGTCAAATTTGTCATTTTTGTATCTCAACAAATATTTCAATTTTTCATACGAAATCATACATTCTAAATCCGGTGCACTGGATAATAGTCTGCTGTTATCAAGTAGAAACAGAATCCATCTATGTAGGAGTGGACGATGTTTTGCATGTCAGTTTACGAAGCAAATATAGTCTAATGTCGGCAAAGTGAGTATATGGTATAGTAAACTGACGAATTGACAAACAGAGGACACCTATTCGGAATTCCGGATGCTTCAAAAGTACTCAATTGCTTACTTGTTAAAGGCTACGAGAAGGCTGAGGCATCTCATGGGACAGAGAAGCGGCGAGATTGATGATTAGGTACTACTACTAGGGCACATCATATCCAACGACATCAAGGCACATGAATGGAACTACGCCACTGAATGAAGAGACAAAACATACAGAATGCAGAGACCAGCCCAACTGTAGCTCCTGCTTAGAGCATCAGCAGCCAGAGCAACAACGAATCCAACATCTAGGCATTCTGCAGTCAAGTCCACTGAGAAAGAGAACTTGTCCGGAAGGAATTCAAGGAAGTAGCAGCATGCAATTTGAAGTTGAGCAAGTCGTGAAATGCCCAAGGCGTACAAGTTAGATTTTGCAGCGGATACGGTCTAGCTGAGCTTTAACATCTGGACAGGGTGTGAGGAGAACCTGAGCAAGGCTCAAAGGACCTTCACGGATGATATCACTATCAGCTATCAAACATGAGAGATAACCAGGCACCTGGGGGCCGGTGATGTTTTCTTTCTTGGCATCGCTGAGGTCATACCTGGTGTACATGTTATAAAACTTGTTTCCACCAAAACTGCCGTAAGTGCAGTTGCCCTTGATGGAAGGAACCTTATCTGCGTCAACTAACATGCACCTTCCAAAACTTAGAAAGAGCGCACAGCTGCCGATACTTTCGAGTGGTTCAAGTACCTTCCGCTCAACGTCCACGCTGAAAAATTCAGTGATTCCGAGATCCACTCTAACAACCAGCAGTTTACCAGCAGACTCCACGAGAGCACCAGTGTAGTGCATTTCAATCTCCAGTATCCTCTCCGCATACCAAAGGCCACCGGTCCAAACGATCTTATATAGCATTCCTGTCAAACTGAGCACATAAACATTGCCTGCACAGGTGACCATGCTCCGGAGGCAGAACGACTCTTCCTCCTTCAAAGCAGCATCATGAATCTTCACCGCGCAGAGCTGGCCCATGGGATCAGCAGAGTAAACCACTGCATTATTACCACCGAGCAATACGTATTTGCAGAGGATCTGTGGGAATGAGAAGATAATCGTTGGTTCGGAGCCGGCGAGAGCGATTGTTGTCGCCACCCGAGACCCCGGAGGTATCGGCGCCGCAAAGGGAAGCATGTCACCAGTCAATGGGTTGAGGAGACGAGCGGCATGCGGGCGCTCCCTATCCCCCAGGACGAGGAGACCGTCGGATGCACCGACGAGGATGTAGTCATGGAGCAACGAGAGGCGCAGGCGGCGGAAGCGCCCTGTGGTGACGTGGAGGAAGAGGGGCCGGCCTTGGTCGTCGTCTGCCCCGTTGAGCAAGACCCACTGCCGTGGGCGGAAACGGAGGTCGGCGACCGCGGCGTGCGGAGATGGCTTGGCGACGGCAGAACGCCAGGTGGGGCAGACGGCCCTCATGGACATGTACTCGTCGACGCCGCCGGTGGAGAGGACGCAGTCGGCAACAAGATGGACGAGGTCCGGCTGGAGCGACTCCCATCCCGCCCGCCGCTTCTGGCTGCTGCAGCCGCCCTCCTCCTCCTTCATCCTCGACAAACACCTCGGCGACTCCCACCGCGTGGCCGATCGATGCTTAGGGTTTGGCTTCGATCGAGGAGCAAATGGCGGCGATTGAGGGGCTGGATTTGAGGATTTGGCGTCGCCGATGCTTAGGGTTTGGGGATTTGGGGATTTTGGAGGAGAGGGGCGGCGGCTGGATAGCAGAGAAGCTCGGCCACAAGTGGTGCTGTTGGGCTGGCGGAAATACTTGCAGGCCTAAATTTGCTGTTGGGCTCGGGCACGAGTGGTTGTAATCTAAAAGTTCTTTTCTTTTACTGATTTTTGTTGGGGGTTTTCCTTTTAAAAAATATTCAGAAATTTCAAATAATGCTAGGGATTTCAACAAATGTTGCAATCTTTAACACAAATTCAAAAAAAATCAAATTAGTTACAAAGAGATGTATGATCCAGATTTTGTGCAATTTTCTGAAAGTTTAACCACGTTAAAATGTTGTCGTAACATGACCCCCATGCAAATTTTCATAGTTTCCGGATCATGTTTAGTTTTATAAAAAGAAAACCAATAGGATGATGTAAAGGTTTGAGGAACAATAATAGAAAGGGTCGTCCACGCACAGTCGAGGATCGTCTTCAGAGAGATGAGTCCGCTAGCGGCACCTGCTTGCTTCTCACAGATGAGGAGTGGGAGTCTCGCTGCAAACGGCGCGAGTGAGGTGAGGGCTCACACTCTAGCTTTGGTCAGTAGGCGCGCAAAAGCCAGGGCGGTGGTGGTGGAGGTGAGGGCTCACACTCGGTATGTCCCGTCGCTGGCTACCTGGGGCCCACTTTACAGCCACACCCACAGTTAATATCGTGGCGAGCCGGACAGCGAGACGCAAAAAAAAAAGAAGGACAAGCTTATCTCAGAAAAAATAAATAAGGACAAACAAAAGGGGCAACAAATTGTTGTTGATGTCATAGTACTCCTTGTCAGGAATCTCCAGGTATACCAGTACTAGTATGTACTGGAAACTGTTTTTTGTAGGTGATTTTAGAATCCGATCGAGTGCCCAGCGCTCGTTATGTCTGTCGCTGGCTAGCTGGGCCCTACTGTCAGCGGGAGCCACAGTTAATATCGTGGTTCAGATAAGACCGACCGGGCCACAGTATTCAATACTTGTTGGTAAAACTGAGAACAATGGGGATCCGTTTTGAAAAGGAAAAGAACAATGGGGATCTTGAGGAGAGATGTGAAAATCTGTTTTGAGTTTGTAAGAGAATCTCCGGCAGCCGCGCCAAAAGACGCGCGCGTGGTAAAATGCCCCTTTAGCGCGTGCGACAAGTTTACACGCGCTCCAGCGGCGACGGGAAATAATCGCGCGCGGGGGAGAAAGTTGTCGATCGCGCGGTAGATTTGACGCGCCGCTTCGCGCGCGCCTATAAAATGCGGCGCTCGCCACGCGCTGCACCACACTGTCGTGCCACGCGCGCATTTTCCCACCTCCCCGCCACTTTCACCGCTTCCTCGCCGCTCTCAGCGCCCCGCCACCACCGCGCCATCATGTCGCCGCGCCGCCGGGGATCATCTGGCTCCCGCGGCGTTCGCCTGCGCCCCTCTGGCGCCTACTACGCCGAGATCCGGTCCGACGACGTCTGCCTCAGCGTCGGCACGTTCGGGACCGCGCACGAGGCCGCCCACGCGTACGACGCTGCGGCATGGCGCCTAGGGAGGCCTCGCGCGCAGTTGAACTTCCACGACGTCTACACGCGCGAGCAGGCGCAGCGCGTCGCCCCTCCGCCTCGTCTGATTATAGACCGGGACCGTGAGGACCACAGTCGGCTGCAGCGCCGCCTCCTTATCACTAAGGAGGACTAGCGAGCCATGGCGGAGTGGCGCCGGCGCCACCCGGATGACGTCGTCGCTGAGAACGCCTTCTGGGCGGAGAGGACGGCAAGGCACCGCGCGGAGCGTGTCGACAGGCGTCGGCGCAAGGCACTTGCCATATCGCAGTGCGATATCGTCGAGGCAGGCGGGACGTCGATCTTCTCCCCCGACGATTACCGTTGGGAAGACATATGGCTCGATACCTCGAACAACACCACCGAGGATGATGATGATGAGGACGGCTGGGAGTAGGTTCTGGTTGAAGAGTAGTTTATTTAGCTAGTTGCACCGGAGTTTATTTATCAAGTTGCACCGTAGTTCTTTATCTATCTATGCTATGAACTATGTAAAATATCTTCGTATCATTTTTTATCTATATATGCTATGAACTATGTATCGTTTTTATCTATGAACAAAATATGTATGCACCGTTTAAAAAAAGTGTTTGTGCGCGAGCGCACGCTGCTGGAGCTACGCGCGCGCTGCATTTTAGCGCGGCTGCTGGAGTCAGCGTTGCACGCCGCTCCAAACCTGCCGATGGGCGCGCAGCAAACTCGTTTTTAGCACGCCACGTATTGGGCGGCTGTTGGAGATGCTCTAAAGACATATTGTTTTGGGGGGTGCAGATGCAAATGTATCAAGGGGGCATCTGTAAATGATAACTGAGTTGATCCTGGAGCAGTCTATCATGCGCTCGGTATGTCCGTCGGTGGCCAGCTGGGCCCCACTGTCAGCGGGAGCCACGGTTCATATCGTGGCGAACCGGCGAGATTTGGCAAGTTGTTTTTATTTTGTTCATTTGTTTGAACGCATTTGGCAAGCTGTTACTGCACCAACCTGTGGTGAGCAGCCTACTGCCTACAGCTACAGCCGAAGTGGTCACCGGCCCGGTCGGTAGCTGCCGCATTGATTCGATTCAAGGAGCAAACACACGCACGCACACACGCACACGCACAGATCGCGCCATTATATACGCCAGCGTCCGTCCGTCGACGGGCCTGGCCGAGCGAGCGGAGCTACCATCTCAGTCAACGCCGACAGAGCACAGCTCGCACACACACAGCTCCCATGGCGGACGGGGAAGCGCCGGGGCGGCTGGAGAGCATCCTGACGGACTCGTCGGCGCCGCTGGCGGGGCGCGTGTGGGCGGCGGGGGCGATCGAGCTCCGGATGCTGACGCGGCTGGCGGCGCCGGCGGTGGTCATGTACATGATCAACTACCTCATGTCCATGTCCACGCAGATCTTCTCCGGCCACCTCGGCAGCCTGGAGCTCGCCGCCGCCTCCCTCGGCAACACCGGCGTCCAGATGTTCGCCTACGGCCTCATGGTACGTACGCTCCCCCTCCATCTCTCGCCTCCAAATCATTCAGCACTCGCTGTTTCTCGTCAAAAATATACTCTAGGCGACGCTCTGCATTTTGGTGTAGATTTGGTGTAGTAGATCCAAAACGCTGAGTGGCCCACAGCTAAGATCGGAATGTTCAATGAACCTGCCATTGTTGGACCGGAAGATTACTATATATTTTCGATGCTTCGGAGTAGAATAGATCGAGATGCTCCGTAGATCAACCTCCCATTAATGGGCGCTGATTTGACCAAGAGTGTTGGACAGTAATATATACACCACAATAGAAACTACTGCTACTAGTACATACTTCACTTGTTGCTGTTCTTAATTACCCACAGCTTAGATCGAAATGCTGAATCAACCTGTCACTTTTGGGGCACTGATTTGACCAAAGCGAAAGAGCACCATTTCACGTTTGTTTATTGGCGAATGTGCCGGGGAGTTGATTTGTTTATGGTTCAGTATAGTTGATGGGCTGCAACGGCGATCGACTGGAGACAAATTTGACTTGGTTGGGTCATCCGCTCTCTCTATAGGCCACTTGTACTTAGCAAACTTCCCATGTGATTTGGAATATTCGTTTTCCTATAAAATATGGTTTCAGTCACACTTCGTTGGGTTATAGGCATGATGTCATACATGACCAATTTGGCCGCAAATCCACCACGTCGAAACAGAGCCGAGCAACGAAAACAAGTGGCATGTCCCAAACTGTAAAACTTGGCCTACCATCTAAAAAGGAAAATGGTTTACCTGGATAGAAAATGATTGTACCAAACAGGAAACTTGGTACGCTATCAACAAAAAATTGAAGAGTAAAATAAAACAGAAAACGAAAACAATAGTGAATGATTATTGCA